ACACACACACACACAGAAACGCACACACACACACACACACACACACACACACACACACACACTTCTGAATTATGTGAGAAAATTAAGCACGGTACCAACAGAAATTCATTGCAGCTTAGAGTAACAATTTTTTGAGTCGTAACAGCTGGCAGTGCTCCAGTGGTTTCTTTAATAACATGTCCTAAACATAATGGTAATTATGTTCTACTTCGAAGTTCATGTCCTTAAAGCTTTTGAATAGTCTGAATTCGGATTTTTTCTTCTTGGATCTGGGACAAAAAACAATACTGAAATGATTAAGTGCATGGCTGCAATTGGCCCAGTAGCATTAAGAGGCCTTTTAACAGCTCCAGCTTCTTGGTCCCAGGAGAAGGAAAAAAACACTATTTGAAAAGAGGAACACATACCAGACTGATACTACAGGGTCAGCGGCTGACCGCTTTGACTCTGGCTCTTTATACCATCATTGTAGCTGTGAGAAAACATCAGTAATCAGTGTAGCTCAACTCCTGCTACACATTATGGGGACATTTCTTGGCTTTGAGAAAGCAAGAACACAACCATGCCAAAATATACACCTGTAGGAAAAAAAAAGAAAAAAAAAGTAGTCGACAGATAGATAAACATCCCTCTGCCTCTTGCGTTGTTACACATTCAAACAAGTCCCAACATTCACAGGCATAAATGTCTTCACACTGCCTGGAAAAACCTGTTTCTGGAGACGATATTTCATGTGCAATGGGAGACTGTAACCGAAACCGAAATCCTGTTTTACTGTAAACACAAGCCAGTTTAACAACAAACAAACTGCAGACAGACAAACTCACACACAGTCTAAACAAACAGTATGCTTTATATTAAGAGCTAACTGCATCTTGTGTAACTCACAAGAAATGCACATATTGCAATAGAGCTGTTTTTTTATGTACATTCTCTTTTTTGGGGAATGCTGTGCCTCTTTTAGTCATGGACACCTCTCAGTCAGACAGTGGCGTGGCACTATATAGACGAGGGAGATTTCTTCCTCTTCCTTGCGCTGGTAGAACAAGATTAAGAGGCATTTTGGTCTTTTTA